TTTCCTCCACCATTTCTACTACCTCTCCCTCCCCCTCCTCTTCCATCACTACTACTATCTCTCCCTCCCCTCCCCTGCACCCCCACCGCTACTACTGTCTCTGTCTCCCTTCCTCCCCCTCAACTACTACCTCTCCTGTTAGAGATCGCTGGATATAAAGCTCAGGAAAAAAGTGAAAGTCACCCAGTAAATTTCCCCTGCTCTATTAACGTGGCACAGAAAACGGGAGGCCCAATGAAACAATAACTAAGTTATTTTCCCGGTATAATCCCTGATCGCTAAATACAATTTATAACAAACCCAACAACGAACACACTTAATAATTTCCGGTAGTTCTATAAGAAGGAGACAGAGCCACATGCACCAGGCTAATATATTGAACACAATATTAAGCAATTCCTACTCCCAAGAAATACAACTGAAAAACTAGCAAACTCCACTAATAAATAAATAAATAAACACTTAGAAAACCTACGTGTTACTTAACACAGAAAAACTACTACCTAATAGCCAATCGGCTAGCCGGATCACAGTACCATCCTCCTCTTTGTGCCTGGAACATATGAGACTGAGGCAGATTGTTGTTGAGTTGGAAAAGTTGAGGAATTCACTGAACAGATCCACAAAATAGAGAATATCCTTGATAACCTAGCAAACCCAGTACCAGATATCATCTTACTTGGAGACTTCAATCTACCCAGTTTAAAATGGAGTAAGTAAAGTAAACAATAACATCATAGCAGGAAGTCAACCTGGAAATAACCAACCACAGGTCAGAGAACTACTAAGATTCTGTAACAAATTCTCGCTCAGTCAGGAGATTAAAGAACCAACTAAGAACGAAAACACGCTGGACCTGATATTCACGAACAATGAGGATCTAATCAGAGATATTGCTGTCTCAGACACTACGTACTCGGACCACAAGCTCATTGAAGTGCAAACTAGCATTAATAACGGTAGCAGGGCCAAGAGAAACAACAATCGAGAAGGGAATATAAAGTCTGTCTGAAACATATTCCTTTGAGGAAAGCCAGAAAGAGGTCTAATGTAGAAAGAGAACGCAGACGACATTACAAAAGGAGGAAGAAATTAACGGAAATGCTTAAGCAGACACGACTCTCCATACAGAGAAGAAATAATTTAAACAGGGAGATTGAAGAAATCGAACAGAGACTGAAGCATTCCTATCAGACTGAAGAAAGGCAACTAGAACAGAAAGCAATTCAAGAAATAAAGAAAAACCCAAATTATTTCTTCACATATGCTAAATCAAAAGCGAAAACCACTGCCAGTATTCGACCTATTCGTATTAGTGAAGGTTCATACACTGAGGATGACAAAGAAATTAGTGAAATCCTAAAAAAGCAGTATAAGGACATGTTTAGCACTCCGATACTCAGCATGAAAGTGGAAAATTCGGGCAATTTCTTTATGAATGATACTCAAACACATGTAAATATAACTGATATCCACACGAGCGTGGCAGATTTTGAAAGAGAAATTGACAATATGCCCTTGCACTCAGCCCCGGTGGTGGTGGAGGGTCCCGGGTCTAGACTCATGGAATTCAATATTTATAAAGAAATGCAAAGTGCCAGTAGCACAGGCACTCAGTATAGTGTGGAGGAAGAGCTTGGACACAGGGGAGATACCAGATGCGCTTAAAGCATCAGACATTGCCCCTCTACACAAGGGTGGTAGCAAAGCATTGGCAAAGAATTATAGACCAGTTGCACTAACGTCCCACATAATAAAAGTATTTGAGAGTGTGATCAGGAGTCAGGTCACTAGATTCATGGAAACCAATGACCTCCACAATCTAGGCCAACATAGATTTAGAGCAGGAAGATCATGCCTCTCACAGCTACTTGACCACTATGACAAAATCACTGAGGCATTAGAGGAAAAACATAATGCAAATGTCGTATACACAGATTTTGCAAAGACATTCGACAAATGTGACCATGGAGTGATTGCACACAAAATGAGGTCAATGAGTATAACTGGTAAAGTAGGACGCTGGATACTCAATTTCCTATCGAACAGAACACAAAGAGTAAGTCAATCAAGTAAAATCGAGTCCGAGCTCAGTTAAAAGCTCTGCACCTCAAGGTACAGTCCTTGCACCACTGCAGTTCCTTATTCTCATATCAGATATAGACAAAAACACAAGTCACAGCTTCGTGTCATCCTTTGCAGATGATACAAAAATCAGCATGAAAATTACCTCTGCTGAAGACATTGATAAACCACAAACAGATATTAACAAATTTTTCGATTGGGTAGCAGAAAATAACATGATGTTTAACGGTGATAAATTCCAGGTACTCAGATACGGCAAAAATGAGGATCTTAAACATAATACAGGGTACAAAACACAATCGAATCTGCCCATAGTAGGAAAACAGCATGTCAAGGATTTAGGAATAATGATGTCCGACGACCTAACGTTTAGGGAGCATAACCAAGCAAGTATTGCGTCAGCCAGAAAAATGATAGGATTTATTACGAGAACATTCAAGTCCAGAGAACCCATCACAATGGTTGTACTCTTCAAATCACTTGTGTTGTCACGTTTTGAGTACTGCTCAGTACTCACTTCCCCCTTCAGAGCAGGAGAGATTGCTGAAATTGAGGAAATACAAAGAACATATACGGCACGCACAGACGAGATAAAGCACCTAAATTATTGGGATCGTCTCAAAGCTCTCCAAATGTACTCACTAGATAGGAGACGAGAGAGATACCAAATAATATACACATGGAAATTACTAGAGAGACAGGTCCCAAATCTGCACAGTAAAATAACAACGTACTGAGTGAACGACATGGAAGAAAATGCAGTATAGAACCAGTGAAGAGCAGAGGTGCCATGGGCACAATCAGAGAACACTGTATGAACATCAGAGGTCCACGGTTGTTCAACGTCCTACCAGCGAGCATCAGAAATATTACAGGAACAACCGTGGACATCTTCAAGAGGAAACTAGATTATTTCCTTCAAGGAGTGCCGGACCAACCGGGCTGTGGTGGGTATGTCGGCCTGCGGGCCGCTCCAAGCAACAGCCTGGTGGACCAAACTCTCACAAGTCAAGTCTGGCCTCGGGCTGGGCTTGGGGAGTAGAAGAACTCCCAGAACCCCATCAACCAGGTATCAACCAGGGCGGGGCTTATGTTCCCTGTACTCATGAATATAATCCCTTTATTTTAACCTTACATTAGGGGGCTGAAACATACTTGATCTAAAACGCCTACATTCACATTAATACTATATGAAACCAGATACTATTAACATCTCTCTGGGTCAAGCAATTTCCAGCAACATATTGGTACATTACAGTTAACTAACTTCCCATTTGTAAGTTTGGTACTCACTAATCCTTGACCTCAGATCACCAGCGCTTAAGCTGGGAACAATATCATCTCGCTCCAACTGGCTATGCTCACCATGTTCTCACATATATAATCCATACAACACACTACTCTAAAAGTACATGAACAATATAATCATACTAGACAAAATAAAAGGCAACGTCTAACATCTTTATTTCTTCTTATATGCTAATCTACTTTGTAGACAGTAACGCGTCCGACATTTCTTCATCTGGAGCTAACGGGATCGTAACTTATCCCTCCCCTCCTCCTCCACCACAACTGCCTCTCCCTCCCCTTCTCCTCCAACATAACAACTGCCTCTCCCTCCCCTTTTCCTCCACCACAACAACTACCACTCCCCCTCCTCCTCTTTCACCACAACAACCCCCTCTCCCTCCCTTCCTCTTCCTCCACCACAACAACTGCCTCCCCCTCTCTTCCTTCAGCACAACAACAACTGCCTCCCCCCTCCCCTCCCGCTCCATCTCCCCTCTTCCTCCACCACAACAACTGCCTCTAACTCTCCTCCTCCTCCTCCTCCACCATAACAACTACCTCTCCCTTCCCCTCCCCTCCTCCTCCACCACAACAACATTCTCTCCCACTTCTCCTCCTCCACCACAACAACTGCCTCTCCCTCCCCTCATCCTCCACTACTACGACTACTGCCTCTCCCTCTCCTCCTCCTCCACCTATACTACTGCCTATCCCTCCCCTCCTCCATCACAACAACTGCCTCTCTCTCCCCTTCCTCCTCCACCACTACTACTGCCTATCCCTCCCCTCCTCCTCCACCACTACTGCTGCCTCTCTCTCCCCCCTCCTCCTCCACTACTTCTACTGCCTCTCTCTCCCCTCCTCCATCTCAATTATTATCTGTCCCTCCCCTCCTCCTCTCCTCTTCCTCCTCCACTATTTCTACTGCCTCTCCCTCCCCTCCTCCTCCACCACTACTGCTGCCTCTCCCTCCCCTCCTCCTCCTCCACCACTACTACTGCCTCTCCCTCCCCTCCTCCACCTCAATTATTACCTCTCCCTCCCTTCTTCCTCCTCCTCCTCCACCACTACTACGTCCTTTCCTTCCCCTCCTCCTCCACCAAAACTATAATGTCCTCACCCTCTTCTCTCCTCAACCACTTCTACTGCCTCTCCCTCCCCTCCTCCTCCATCTCTACTACTTTGTCTCACCCCCCACTCCACCACTACTACTGCCTCTCCCTCCCCTCCTCTTCCTCCACCCATACTACTACCTCTCTCTCCTATCCTCCTCCACCACCATGGAATAGCTAAATGTCTTAAGAATGTTTCATACAGACAATAAATAACATTCACTATTTATTAATGAATTTTAAAAATAGACCATTCATTCGTTATTTAAATATGTAAAACGCATTTGTAATACATTAGGAATAAAATAATTTTGGAAACCATATAATATAAATGAGCTTGGGTTATTATACATACGATCTGCCTATGTATAGGCAGATCGGGCTGTCTATACATAGGCATGTATAGGCAGCCTATACATGCCTATGGGCTGATGTATAGGGCTGATTGGCATTCTGCAGCTTACATTAGTATCGGCATATCATGTAATTAAGTGATTGATATCTTTACTCCAGACTCTCATCATGTACGCCAGTGTGACGTTCGTTATCATCAAGGGCGCTCATGACGTTGGAGGTTTCAGTACAGTGTGGGCGAGGAATGCAGAGAGTGGCCGGACCCAAGTGATCAATTATGACACAGATCCCACCACTAGACACACCGTTTGGAGTCTATTTATTGGAGGCTATTTAAACTGGATCACCATATACGCCGTCAACCAGGCGCAGGTATTGGCTCAGCGAGCCTTTCCGATTCTGATATTTTGTTGAACTTCAATGCTTTATTAAATATGCAAGAAAAGAATTCATGAAGCTCATAAGATTGAAAAAGATGTAAATTTAACCAAAAAAAAAATCGTCAAAATGTTAGAAATTGGAAGCCTGTTTTTCATTTGGGAAGCACATAGCCTCTGCTGCGCCAGATGAGGAACCCTATGAAGCTGGTGACAGTATCTTGGCTGCTGCAGCCGTACAGGTGGTGGAAATGGAGCCCATAGAAGATGTGACCACTTCACTAGATTATCTTATTTTTTTTAACTATAAAGTGAATAGCACAAAATTCTTTTATCTAACTGCCTAACGTCAATGTTTATGGTTCACATAGTTTCAAAAAGTACTATCTAATCAAGAGGATGGGTTGAATTATTTGGTACGTGTTGTGGCGCCTTATATATGTGCTCACTCCCCTTAACATTAGCACCTGCCTACAACGCGGCCTAGGCAGAAATTCATGCATTTTTCACGTTTTGTAGGTGCAGCGATACCTTAGCGTCCAGACAAGACAAATGGCCATCAACGCGTTGTGGATCAACTTGGTGGGACTTTTCGTGTTGACGATCACCTGTTGCTTCGGTGGGATGGTTGTGTACGCCAAGTACTATGACTGTGACCCAGTCCGTGCTGGAGTTGTCACCAAGGCAGACCAGCTCTTCCCACTCTTTGTCATGGACACCCTCGGGCAGTGGAAGGGTCTTCCAGGAATGTTCGTTGCTGGCATATTCGCTGGCGCTCTCAGGTAACATCTTAGAGGAGAGTTTAGTGTACCTGAATTACAAGTCTCTGAGTCAGAAGGAAGGCTTTCACTCTTTTCTGATGATATATTTCCATATAGCCAGAAACATATTGGGCGCACGAATGTTCGAAATTGAATAATAAAAGTTTAAACAGGATTTCAAGTACCAAGAATTGCATGAGACAAATGAATTATTGTGTTGTATGCCAGCACTATTTCTTCCGGGTTGAACGCCTTGGCGGCTATCGTGTTAGAGGACTTCGTCAGGAGTGGGTGTTATCCAGGCATCTCCGACAACGCCAGCACCTTGGTCTCCAGGGGCCTCTGCATCGTCTTCGGTCTCATCACATTTGCTCTTGTCTTTGTAGCAGAGCAACTCGGCAATATTTTGTCTGTGAGTAGATCTATTACTAAGTTGCTTAGTCAATGCTATTTTGTCAGTGAGTAGGCCTATTGCTAACTAGGTTGCATAGTCAATGCTATTTAGTCTGTGAGTAGGTCTATTACTTGCTGGCTAGTTGTGCCAGTGAACTTTCCAACACCAATCTCGCAAACCAATTAATAAACAACTTTCTTAAAAAGTGATTAAATGGTTGTGCATTATATATGTTTCTTGACATATAACAAGACAGGAGGCAACACTGCGAGAATATTTACTAGATGAGGTATGACTGAATTGTTGTTACAAACTACTTGCCTCCTACACCCTCAAGTTTTATGAAACTAAGTTCATTACAAATATGAAAGTTTACAAAAGCAAATTTTGCAGGAACTCAGAGGGAATAACAATTATTATAATAAAGAACTACATGTATACTGGAGGAAACAGTCAATATTTTATTTAGAAATATCACATCTTTCCCTCCGGAAAATCGTACACTAACAGTATAAAAACAAATGACAAATATTTATTGCTCATCACAACACAAATTACCTCAATACAAGATCTTAATGCCAGTAATAACGACCATGATGCCCTGGTACCCGGGCAGACCTTTTGGGTCTCCCTGGAGAAATTGAGACATCTTCACGGGGCATCTCACTTGCTAGTTCATGACCTTGAACACCAAGAGAAGTGGGGGGGGGGGAGGGAGATCCATCAATCGCATCGCATTTTCATGAACAGGAGAGAGTTGATTCTTGGGCACAGACTCGACATTATGATGCTTCATGAGAGTTGTCAGACTCGATGAATTCGGTGCCAAGTCAAGGACAGATTGTGTGGACTGGCATTCATCTGCATACCTAATGCCGGTATTGGCTGGGATTACATTAATGAGATCAACTTGGTCACCTAGACGGTGATTAAACAAAACTAAACTTCAAAGTAACACCCTACCAGTACCATAAACCATGATGGTTATGAGTTACAATCAGCTGAGCGTTATTGAGAGTTACTTCCCTCCCCCCCCCCCCAAATAAAAAGACATAAACTCATGTGAGATTGTATTAGTTGGAGCAGATAAGAAAGATATAATTGAATGTAGTTCATCTAGAAGCACCAATTTCCAATGTGTTTTGCTAGATTGTGCGATATGAGTGCTAGGCAATAGCATTTCATATGATACAATTGCACCGTTCAACCTGTACATTCCCTGTGAGATGATAGGACAGTGTCCTTTTTGTTGCGACACCTTTGAGAATAATATATCTTGAGTACCTAGGACATAAAGCAGACACTATGTTTGAGTGGATAAAGTTGGTAATTTTTCTAAGGCTTAAGACGCTGCCGGGTATTTGATCACAGTAGACGTGTTCATCTCACGGCACGGGAATGCACAAGGGATGCGCAAGTACTCGTCAACGACCGTGAGTATGTGGATTATGGATCGCTGATGACAAGTGCTCCTTAAAATCAATGGTAAGCCACTCCAGACGCAGTGGATCTGGAGCTTAAATTCTTCAGAGACCTTGCAAGATGAACATGTTCTTTTTACATATTTTGATGTGTATGGAAGGTTTTTTGATCTTACAAAGTGAAGGAGCCGAGTCAGTTCATGATTACTGAGTCAATCACGAATGTAAATGACGGAAGGGCATAAATAACCATCAAGATTGAACGTTTGATTGTTGCTTCTATAAGGAAAGATTTAGGCCAGTTAATGGAAGAAGTGATGCTGAGTTATGTGTTGCAAGTGGATGAAGCTAAAGTGTAAGTTGTGCCTGTGAAACCAGCAAATTAGTTTTTCGCAAAGGATAAAGGCCTTAGGAAGATAATAAAGAAGCCTTTGGGGCCCATTTCGAAAACCTCAAGGTATTCTCTAGACTGGAGGAGAAATGTTCGAAGGATGTAGCTACTTCCCTGACAGAAGAGACAGTTAATTTCGAGCATGGAAGCAGGAGTAAGGACGACAAAACGACTTAACAGGAAAACAGGAAAATCTTGGTAATCAAAGATTTAAAAAAAAGTACAAACAGGGCTTTTTGTTTGAGATTTTGGTGATGAGGGTAAGCTCTCATGGGGCTGACAGAGGTTATACAATAGACAGGAGGAAAATATTCCTATTAACTGCTACTCTGTTAGACGAAATGATGCTGGCAAGCGTAGATATGAGGAACTTATAAACTAATTAAGGTTATCACTACACATGACTCGGAAAAAAAGGTTTGCGTTATATTTGAACTTTTGCTTAGGTTAGGTGTTGGTGGTCAATGGTTGTCATGGGCAATTGGGATAAATCATTTGACAACCACTTGAAAGGCCTTTTTTTGGACTGAGAAATGCCAAATATCAACAACTGGGATTAGTTCATTAGCAGGATGTATATGTATGTGAGGGATGGGACTCACCTTTTGGGTAGCAAGTATAGCAAACTCTTTTGATTTGGCATTTAGTAGGATTTTAAACTGTTATATTCAAGAAGTCAAGCCATTATGGAAACATGAAACAAAAATGTAAAAGAAATATGTGAAAGGAATGTTAAATGTTTCACTAAAAATATTACTGATGGACTCGACCATCAACATAACAATACCCTAAAAGTGTACTACATAAACAGTACTAATATAAATAACAAATATAGGTGTTCTAAGGGCTCTTGTATGCACGAAATAAAATAGTATTACACTAACCGAAACGTAAACAAATGTTGAAAACAGGGAACTATTAACAAAATATGAAGTAAGGGATTCAAATTATTTCAGACATTCAGATTAGAGAATGAGGAGAAGTATCAATATATACTAGAGGAAAACATAAAATGTAGTGTCATTGGAGCCTGTCCTCAGACCATATCCATTACCATTAGAAACCACACATCCCCCTCAAGACACCTAGATAGTTATCTAGATATTTTTGATGGTCTGAAAGCATATTATGGTTCCAGTAATAGTCTACATGTAAACTGGCAAATGAACCTATGTCGTGAACCAGGTTTATTCTCAAGTTATAACTTTATTGTATTAAAAATAGTTGGTTTAAAGTATAAAAAGTGAATGATGAAAGACTTCAAAGAAAATTTTAATTGAAAAATTTGGCTTACTGTAAATGGAGTTCCTTGGTACTCTCATATGGTTTTCAAATTCCATATTTCACATTATCGTCTATAATACACCATATTAACGTAACCAAACATAATGAAACACCCTAACCAAACCTTAACCTAAAGTAACCCTATCCTAATCTAACTATGGACAGTGAGTAAATAATAGCACTAATTATGTAGTCAATCCCAATCCATTCCTTTGAGCTGATCTCCTCCCAGAGGACAGGTTGGTCAAAGAGACAGTCAAAACTGAGGCATAAACATAACAACTGTTTCGATAAAATTAAAAGAAAATAATGGTAGCCTGATATAACTGGGGTAATATATAGGCCAGCAAACCATGTCCGAATTGAGGAAAACCAGAGATGGGGAGCGGTATTTAGGCAACTTGATCTAGCAAAATTTGCATAACAGGTAACTTTAATTTTAATAGAATAAATTTTATCAATACAGCAGACGAATAATTGAAAAAATAATGGACAAATGATTTCTTAAGAATTACATAATTGAACTAACACACAAAAGCAATATATTAGATATGATTCTAGGCAACAGCTAAAAACTAGTGAACGGCAAAGAAATAGGGAACATGTTAGATTTAACTTCTGGAAAAATGTTGAAGAGAATATTATGGAGAATTAACAAGTTTCATGGGAAAGTTAGAATGGGCAGACTTGTCCAAAGGAGGAGGGCTTTTGGCATCTGACGTAAGTTGGGTGGTGAATGACGTAGCAGTGGACTGGGATGTGAAATCAACGTATAACTCACATAAAACAATTACTATTAGTATACCATATAACAGAGTATACCATATAAGTTCATTAAGTCGAATAACAATTCCACCTCGCTCTAGGGGGGTAGGGGGGAACCTAGCATTGTCATCTATCCAATTATCTGTCTATAAATATATTTAACTATCTATCCATCCATCTATCCATCGACCTATCTATTTATCCACCCATCTATATACTGTCTGTCTTCCATCTATCCATCTCTATCCATCTATCGATCCATCTATCTATCCATTCATCTAACTACTGTCTGCCGGTCTCTCTTTCTCTCTATGTCTCTGTACTCTCCTAGTTGTGTTTGCGAAGGTAAGGGCTTCGGCTGTTTGGTACCACCTCTCAAATGTCAATCTACTGGCGTAGGGGTTCCTGAGCTAATTAAGCTCTATCATATCTACATTTGAAACTGTGTATGGAGTCAGCCTCCACCACTTTAATTCCTAAAGCATTCCATTTATTAACTATACTGGCATTGTGAAAGTTCTTTGTAATGTCTCTGTGGCTCATTTGGGTACTCAGTTTCCACCGGTGTCCCCTTGAGCGAGTACCACCCGGGTTAAATAATCCATCATATTCTACTCTGAAAATTTTGCGATAATTATATCTCCCCGAACTCTTCTGTCTTCCACCTACGTGAGGTGCTATTCAAGCTGGTTTTTTCTCATACTCATACCTCTTAGTTCTGGGACTAGTCTAGTGGCATATCTTTGAACCTTCTTCAGCTTCGCCTTGTGCTTGACAAGGTATGGACTCCATGCTGGAGCCACATACTCCTGGATTGGTCTTACATATGTAGTATACAAGGTTCTAAATAATACCTTGCAGAAGTTTCTAAAGGCAGTTCTGATGTTAGCCAGTCTTACATACACCGCTGATAATATTCTTTTGACGTGGAGTTCAGGAGACAGATTCGGTGTGATATCAACTCCTAGGTTTTTCGCTCTGTCCGTTTCGTGGATGACTTCGTCTCCCATTTGGTACCCTGTGTCTGGTCTCCTGGTCCCTCAATCTAGTTTCATTACCTTACATTTACTTGGATTGAACTTTAGATGCCATATGTTAGACTATTTCTTCAGTTTATCTAGGTCATCTTGTATCATCTTGCTACCTTTTTCGGGGTT